TATATATATATATATATATATCATTCTGAAACAATTGTATATTCTTGTTCGTTATTAAACGATTTATTGGCTTTATCTCATAAATAAATTTCAATATTACGATACTATTTCATCCGATATAATATAGTTTGTTAAATATCTGTTTTCGCAGTTTTAATAATATTTCAATATATTCATCAATTATCACAAATGTGTATTCAGGATTTGTATAAAAATATATAAAACAAAGTTAGCATTGAGAATATTAGATAAAATTTTGTGCTTTTTAATATCTACATTAAATATCTTGTATATCTATATTAAATACCCTGTATGATTTATGAAAAATTAAAAATTTTAATTGTCATTTTGCATAGCTATTTAAGAAAATGACATGATTTAATAATGATGTTTATGAATATAATTATTACAATACTGCGATTGTGATGTAATGTAATTTAAACTCATGATATTTCGTTTGGCCATTGATATAAACACATCGACTATTGCGTGATGGCTTCATGAAATGATATAATTATTAATGATCTTTATTCGTCGATTATAGGAAAAAAGAAAAAAAACCGTTAATAATAACAAGTATATTTGTAACTCTAAGCGTACCATGCTATTAAGGAAGAAAGAACTTCTCTCAATATGGAAAGGTGAGCACAGCCAAAGTGTTGCCTAGTACAAATATATTGTAAAAAATGGATTGTTGTTTAAATGAGCCGAAAGTGCTACTTGCGTTTTGCGCAGATTTATTTCGAGATATACTTATTTTTTTTTTAATATCCTTGATCTCATGAGTCCTCTTATTATCTTACCTCTCCATAGTGAGAATATCTTATCTAAGTTATTAAAATTCATGTTTTTATATGCGCGATTAGTTGTACTCTGATTTATCGGCATAATATTATATGTACTTATTCCAATAACAATATGCACCTTTATTTTTGTCATAAAGGATAAATGAAAAAATGTACCTTTTTATATTACTATTAAGACGCCTTACATAAATAAACTTTTTAGAAAACGATATCTTGTTATTTGATACACATTATACAATACTTTTTTTATCATAGATAACAATTTATTTAATACGTTTCAATTATATGAATAAGAGAATTCATATTACTTATTAGTTATTTCCTTTATTCTTAAAAAAAAGTTATGATATATATCTGAATAAATTTATATTTCATTCAACAATTGTATATATATATGTATATGTATTTTTAATGCTTATATATATATATATATATTTGAGCAAACATTAATTTGTTTTATTACTATTTTTTATAGCATGTAATTATATTTAATTATTGGGGTTCATAGATCATATAAAACTACTAATATTGCGTTGAATTTAATAAAAATAATGTAATTTATTATCTTTAAACTTTCTTCTGTAATCAAATTCATAGGATTTCAGATTGGGATAATTTTTTTTTGTAATAAAACATTAAAAAAAATAAATCTTATTTGCATAGAAAAGACCAGCTTTTAATCATTTTTTTGCTACATATTAATCTCATACACATGCTGAGCATCATATATTGTCACATGTGCATAGATATATTCTTATTTACATAAATACATGCAACAATATTTATTTGCTTCATCATCAACAGTGTATATTGTATATAACAAGATACTTGTCTGACGCAGTTAAATTAAGATTTCTTTCTCACTATGTACAAATTGGCTATAAAAATTGTCATGATTATAAACCCATATATTGAGGGGAGGAAGAAAAAGTATTTCTTGCAGAATTATTTTTCCTCGATTCCTCAGCATTAGGAATATCACTGAAAATAGAAACTGATGATAATATTTTGGCAAAAATATAAAAATATACTAAAAAAAAAGATCTTTTTTTAAGAATGGAATTTTTTGATAATCTGAATCAGTGATCCATCTTTGCACTAAAAGTGATAAATTCCGATATATATCATTTTTCAAATAAATGCGAAAATCATATACTTAATTGTACTTAGCGTTAAATATAAATAGTTATACTTAGCGCTAAATTCAGTGGATATACCATCTATAATTATATTTATAAGAAATTTTTTGAAATTTATAGCAGTGTTGTCCAACAAGTTGAATTATTCGTGCCTTATTGGACAGCACTGATTTATTGAAAATGATGCTTGTAGATTAAATAAATTACCCAAAGAAAGGCATCAGAGACACGAGCGTCTGCCTGTTTGGCCTACACGCAAATACAGGTGAACACTGTGCTATACGTCCAACGACACGCCGTAACCATTGCTGTAGCTTTTGCCGTCGTTCTTCCACAAATTTCGCATCCTAAGTCATTAATAATCACTTGTTACATCTAAATATTTTTGCTATTACTTATATTACGAATTTATGTTTCAATACATTTACAACTTACCTTATTTCCTATCGTTTTTTTTGGTGGAAATTCGAAAGTTGTAACAATAGTATCATGTTTCTTTAGTTCTCTATAAAGCGCATAAAATTGAGCATATCGCCGATAAATGTTCCATTCTATGTCTCTTATGCGTACGTAAATCTATGTTAACAAAATAAATATGCAAATTATGGGAATCACTTTAGTGAAAAGATTTTAGAATACAAAAGACGATACTTGATAAACATGATGGATGTCAGATGATTGTCCTGTAAGAAACGCCGATGGAATCCATATGTGAATAAGACATGGTGGCTCTGCAGGTAAATCGTCCTCGTTTAACGGTCCTCGGAGACATTCCAATTCTGTTTGTAGCATTTTTACTAATCTATCTCTATATAAAATTTGAACAGTATAGAAAAATATTACAAGATTATTTGCGCGACTTTGTATTAATACAATACCTGTTTGTCAATTGCATTGTCAATCTAGCATTAAATTCCATTAACTCGGCATGCATATCTGCAACTTGTATTAACTTTTCTTCATATTGTCGCGCCTCATTGTGATAGTCCAACGATGGATCTTCCTCGGATACTGTTGTGGAATTGGAATCTCGTCTTAACATCTGAACAGCAGTGACATACTTACGCAGTTGCTGTCGTAAGAGTTCATTCTCTCTATATAATTAAAAGTAAATCAAATCAATATAAATTATATTATTA